AACTGGATCAGTGTCATAACACCGAACCAGTGTGCGCGAGAACTGAGTTTGCCTTGAAATATTAAATTCAGTTCTGAGAAAGCGGATCAGTGATATACTAGCGATTTAGTTTTTACGGAAAATTGAATCTACCTTAGGAAATAAATCCCCAGGAACTGAATACTGTACTCAGTTTCTCAATCATCCAGTTCTCTATACCGAATTTGCTTCCCTGCTTTGTAAAATGATATTACACTCGCAAGGAACTGCTTTATGGTTTCCAGTTTACAAATATTATTCGACTTCATAAATACCTATTCTACAAGCTTGCTTTTATACTGGGTAGAGATTAAGTTGCGACCCAGCGACTTTTACAATTCTGTGATCCATCTATTTAAAAATTAGATCGTGTGGGAAGTTGGTCCCAGGTCGCTTAGATTTGATCACAAAAACACATGCATTATAAGACAATCGTATAGGTGTCCCTGCCCCGGTAATATCATTATTTTCCGAACGATATATTTTTATCAATTTTTTCTTTTTGTCAAAGCGTATCATCGATTACATCCCTCTTGCCATAGAGCACGATCTCAATCAGAACCTTGCGGACAATATTGGGAATATCCTGGTTGACACGGTCATGAAAGATACTGCCGAGCAGCGCGTTACATTTGAACAGCTTCTCAGCGAAGATACACTGATTTCTGCCCGACGAAAAGAGCTTCAGGATCGGCATTCTCGGCTCACTAAAATCAAGGCGATCCTCGACGATTTCAAGCATCTCGAGCTTGCGCCAGCTTCTATTTCTAGCTCCCCGACCGAAGAGATGGAAGAACAAGAAGATGACGACGCAACCTCCCAGTCCTCCTTTACCAATCCACGTGAATGAGGTACCTCTGCTCCCCCCATTTCCCCCTGAGTCCCTTCCTGCAATACGATGGACCTTCCGGGCCTCTGATTTCTGTTCCCCCATCTCATAGTGCTTCGAGATCCCGTGGGGGGTCAAAATATTCTTCCCCGATGTACTTGAATTTAGCCGAATCAGCTTAGATTTCACGTAGGGTGTTATATATCATGCTTCGTCCAGATCTTTGTTAGATCCGACCTACAGGCTACAGCTGGCCAAACTTTTCTCCATGCTACGCTAGTTTTAGAAGAGTTTAACTTTGTTGAAATGCAAATGATAAAGCGCGTGTCAACTTATGTTTCGACAAGAGATGTTTTGCTTCATGCCGCCTTAACGTAGTGTACCTTTCCCGGGCCTTCGCCATGATGACTGTCTCCGCTATCTGAGAGCAGCTTAGTCATCCCGACTCCAATGACTCCATACACAACTCCGCAATGCGTTGTTTCTCTTTTGACAACGACACTTCGCAAACTGCTTTATGTGAGATATCTCGGTGTTTTCAACAAATTTTCATTGGTCAAAATATGTCAACAGTTTTGTCTATACCGTAACCCGCAGCCCTCCATGCCTTGAACTTCAACCACATGTTTTGATAGGCGCCCGCAGCTTTGAATTCAACAAGAACTCAGCTGACTTCAAGGCAGACATACATATCTCCTATCGGGCGATCTTTCCTTGAGAGAAATAACACAACCGGGTCTACCAGGTCAAAACGGAGAAGCGAGGTCATTTCAAAATGCATCGCACTACATGAGGCGGCCTCATTCCCATAGTGATTATGTGAAAACTGCGAGGGCGCCCACAGACCAGGTATCTTAAATAGTGAGATGTCATCCCTTGTTTCCTAAGTCCCCTCGCAATGAGCAAGTCCTCTAAGCACAGCCGAAGCCACAGGAATAACAGCGAAGAATCCATCAGTGGCAACTCTTCCGACCATGGGTTTCCTCCGCCTGATACACCAGGAGGTACAATCCCCGCATCTAATCTTCGTAGCAGTACCATCTCTTCTAGTCACTATGCAAGACGATGCAAAGAGGTCATGAAACTCTACAACGAACTTAAAAGCCTTAAGTGTGTACATATGAACTGTTTCGAGCTTTGAATTTAACTATGTTACAGCGTTCAGGCCGATTTCAACAGTATCATCCCGCGAGTTGTTGTAATCGGAGGACAATCAAGTAAATTTACGCTTCGTCAAGAACAATATACCCAATTGGCATAATTTCAAGGTGGGAAGAGCTCTTTAGTGGAAGCTGTTAGTGGGGTATGTGTTCGCCTCATGCTCAATCTATGGTAAAGTAATCAGTACTCAGATAAATGTTCCGAGAGACGGTGGTACTTGTACTAGGTCATTTATTGACTTGAAACTGCCTCATGGGACTAACTATCTTGTCTAGATGTCCAATGGAATGCACAATGTTCAGTAGCGCTGAGTCTTGGTCTTGCGAAATCTACATCCGCAAGGAATACGATTAAAACGACAATGCGATTGAAGGCGCTATGGAACAACGTTTTGGAAGCCCAATATTTGACAAAAACAACATTGAAATCTGGGTTCGTCGAGCCCAAGCCGCCGTACTTAGTCCACATAAACACCAAGCAGAGTTCGAGACCATGTCCAAGGCGGAGCTCAAAGCGCTTATGGAACACGACAAGGAGATCCTCCAGTTCTCGAAAAACGTGGTCGTCATCAAAATTATGGATCCTGATGCCACAGATTTATCTTTTGTAGATCTACCAGGTGCGTCTCACGTCCCGTCTGTCTGCCTTACATCTCTAATCCATCTATGCAGGTCTCATTCAAAATGCCAAGGATGAAAGGCTCATTTCGACAGTCAAGAGTCTTGTAGAGGGATATATACAAGGCTCTAATAGCCTTATCGTTATCGCGATGCCCGCTACTGGTTGGTGATGTTTTACTTGCTTGCTTATTACATATTATCAACGCCTTTCATAGACGACTATGAGAATTTGCAAGCCGTGACGATTGCCAAAAGCCCCAAAGCGGATCCGGAGGGTGATAGGACGATCGGCGTTATCACTAAGCCTGACATGCTGGGGGAAAACAATATCGGGGCTCGGAAGAATTGGAAAGAGACCCTTGATGGCACTCGTCATCCTACCACTCATGGCTACTTCTGCGTTCGTCTTCCGGACGACTTGCAGCGTGAGGCTGGTATTACTAAAGAAGAAGTTCAAGAAAATGCGGACGCTTACTTTTCTTCAACTCTTCCATGGAACCAGATGACAGATCGGAGTCGCTTTGGGATTCCCAATTTTGTTCAGTATGTCAGCAAACTTCTGGTCGACCTCATCGAAAAAAGGTTTGCGTATCTCACTTTTGATCAAGTGAACTCTGACTGATTATATGCTTATCTAGCCTTCCGAGTCTTAGAGGCAGGGTTGACGAGAAACTGCAACAATGTCTGACTGACTTGGAAGGGATACCGCCACTCCCTCAAGGTCATCCTTCGACCGAGGTCCTCATGCGCATCACCAATTTCTGCAGAGCTATCAACGACGCAGTATCTGGAGAGAAGTACAAGCACTTCGTTCAAAGCAACCTTGTAACCTATTCCAAATTCAAGTCCGAGATCATAGCCACTGCACCAGAGTTCAGACCTTTTGAAGGGTCAGCGTTGTCGCTTGAAAAAACCCGCCGTTGCTCGAGTTGCATCACATTCGTACCCGGAAGTCAAACAGAAGCTAGAGGACTTGACATCGTCAGAAATCGGATCAAGCTGTAAACTTTCTTGATTCTGGGCGAGAAAATCCGATTTTACTAATGACCTCACTCAGGTCCATTACCTGGGAGCTACCTGGTCATATCCCATTCGAAGTGACCAAGAATCTTCTCCACGATTATATTGATCTATGGGCAGAGCCTACGCTTGACTGCTTTCAGGCGGCTAAAGCGACGACTACCCAGCTGCTCATCAAGCTACTCCAAGAATACCTCGGACAGTATAAATTCTTCCAGAAGTACATCAGGTTTGGATTACCTTACTTCACGGGTAATTGTGATCTAATTCTTGAGTAGCGACCTTGTCTTCAAAGAACATAACGATTGCGGTAGAGGCACTGATGAAATGCTGCAGAAAATTCTTCAGATGGAAAAAAATCCGCTTTGTACACAAAACTCGGATGTTTTATCCTCCCAGAGAAGGGAATGGAAGGACAGCTTGCTACGAGAGGCTGGCCGCATGTACAGCGAAGAACTTCAACAAGAAAAATCCACATATCACAGATGCTCAACCAGCAGACGTTCCTACATACGCCACACCTTTGCCAGTGTGTTTAGCCGGGCGGATGACCACCGTCCGACAACTTGGACCATCGACGACGAGATTGAAATTATGGCGGGCGTCCAGGCCTACTTCCACGTGGCCTACCAGGTGGGTATTACTGTCGTTGCTCCAATTTGACGGCCTGCCTAATATGTCACTCAAAGCGCATCATTGACTACATCCCGCTTACTATTGAGCATGAACTAAATCAAAACCTCGCTAACAACATTGGGAACGCCCTGATCGACAAAGTCATGCAAGATACCACGGAGCACCGTGTCACGTTTGAGCAACTTCTAAGTGAGGATCCAGTGATTGCTGCCAAGCGGGAAGAGCTCCAGAATCGGCGCTCTCGGCTTTTGAAAATCAAGGCAGTTCTTGACAAGTTCAAACATCTCGAGCCCATAGCCCCTTCCATTCCTAGCTCCCCGACGGTAGAGATGGAGGAACAAGAGGAAGAGTACGACGCACCCTGTGAAGGCTGAGATAATCATACCCGCTCTTGGTGCCTCAAACCGGCGCTTACATATGGTGAACTTTCCAGGGTTCCTCTTATCCCATCTTCCAGCGCTTTCAGCGGGTTCTACACTTCGGGAAGGGGCAATTTTTGATATTCTCCCCCAGCATTGCTGTATACTTAATCAGATTATCTTTCATGTGAACACTTATACTCATCGTGCTTCATACAAGTTTCGTTAGATTCCCACTCTCTGGCGAACTTCTCTCCACCAAGAGTGAATATATGCCGAATTACGCTAATGATCAATGAAATAAACTTAGAAGGGAGCATACCGAGCTGTGTATTGACGTGGAGCCGTGGATATCATGCCGCTTTAGCGTAGTGGTTATCGCGTCGCACTTGTATGATGAATACGTAATGCGAAGGTCACTCGTTCAACTCGGGTAGGTGGCAATGTTTTGTTTCTTTTTGATCGAAAGAAAGAGGAACCAGTGCTCGTTGTTGAAAATGGTTTGAAAGTACAGGTATAGCCTCTGAGGCGATGATATGTACTTGATATGTAACATGAGCGATGATACAAGACCAATAAATTCTGCCGAGCTGTTCGTTGGCATGCCGGCGGGACGCGACTTGCAAGCGCGCTGCAGCTCCGGTCTTAGCGGCCTTGCAGTTGCTGCACCTGCCGCCCATGTATACAAACGTTATAAACTGGCGTTGCTCGCTTTCCAAGTCCACGGCCTCGCCAATTCCTACTTATTTCTAGACTTCACGAAATGTTCCGTGCCCTCAGGTCGTTTCCTCGTTCTAGTACTCTGGTCGCGTCAGTCTTCAGAGCGGGGACGAGACATACAGCATGTTTACCTCGGCGTTTTTCAACATCTACATGGGGCTCTGGGACGAAGGAACAGCAAAATTCATCCCAGGGATGGATTAGAAGACCCATTACGAGGATAAGAAGGCAACTCGGCGCGGTGATCGCCGTAGGCGGCCTCATTTACTACGTTGCTCAGTCAGTTTTAGTTCAGTCATGGCAGTGATTAGTACTCAAGATACATAGTCTTGAGCAGGTACCAGACACAGGTCGATGGAGATTTATGAACACATCAACGACGGAAGAAGCCAAGGTAGGCAGAATTGCATTTTCTTGAACTTAACTCATTCAAGACCTGTCAGGTTGGCCAAGATTACCGTAGACAAGTTCGAGATGAATTAGAGGATTTGATTCTACCGCCAGACCACCCTACAACGCGACATGTTCATGCTGTTGCCTCTCGAATATTACGTGCCTCAAATCTGGGCAGAATCCGCGGCGAACACAAACCTGAAGAACCCTCCTCTGTTGGGCTTTTCAAAGATTCGCAGGGAAATTCACGGAACCCAGATGCAGATGTTGGCGCAGCTGAAGACCCAGGGCTATCTTACGGCCCGCAGAAGGAATGGGATGTCATTGTGGTGAATGACCGAAAGACGGTTAACGCGTACGCGAGCCCAGGTCTGATCGTGATATATACTGGAATTTTACCGGTATGCCATGATGAGGCAGGTCTTGCGGCAGTTATTGGGCATGGTACGTTTTCCCCTCTCTTGAAGAGAGATTACTCAGGTAACATTTCTAGAGATTGGCCATATCGGTATGTTTTATTTTCTTTAAAGTACTGCCACCTCCTTACCACGTTTGTAGTCGCAAGACACACAGCAGAACGGCTATCGACATCATCGTTATTTCTTGGTTTTACGGCAGTATTGGCGCTCGTCGGACTGGATCTCGGCATCTCATATCTTCTGACTACCTATGCCCTTGATCTTCCGAATTCGAGAAAACAGGAGTGTGAAGGTGCAGCTTAGAGGACATAATTAAAGTGGCAAGACACTGACGTACTCTGTGTTTCTGTAGCTGACGTGTTGGGACTCAGACTGATTAGTCGAGCTTGTTATGACCCAATAGCTATGTCTCAGTAAGCATTCGTTCTCGTGCTTGGGGCTTGAGTCCGCATGTCTGACTTGCGCAACAGGATGCTTGGGCGACTCGCAAAGGCAGAAGCAAATCAAGAGGCTCATGTAAACCTCGACTTCTTACACACACATCCTTCTTCTGAGAGTCGGGCAAGGGTGAGTAATTTCTACGTCTGTGCGATGCTATTGGCTGATAATTTACTGTCTAATAGCTCATGGAAAAGCGACTGCACCAGGGACAGGCAATTTTCGACAGAAATCCTGATTGTTTGAAAATAAAAGAGCAATTAGAAGAGTTCAAAAAAGCCCCGAAGAAACTAAGGCTCTCAGAAAGGGGTCTTGTGTATGAGTAGCCTTGTTGCTTTTCTTTGTTGCTGAGAGAATTTAGTGTACATTATATTGTTTAATCAACGCTCAATGCTCCAACTATCTTTGCCAGTTCTGTGCATCTCTTCTCTTCAAACTGATCCCTAAGGGAGCCCCTATCTGAAGGGAAACTCCGTGGAAAATATTGATTGTTGGTGGCGCATGCCGATCATTGCGTTCGACGTCCGGCATTTGCATTTGCTCCCAACGTTCACAGTTTACCAAGAGGTGTCAGATCGTGGAATAACGGACATGGATCTCGGAACCCAATAATTGACGTTTGGAAGGGCTCCACTGGTCGGCTCGTCATCGGCACTCAGAATACGATCAAATTATTGGCTCTCCGCGCCAGCGGCCCAAAAATTTGTGTTGAGACGAAAGTAAAAGTGTGGCCTCGATATGACATATGGGACAGTAAAGACATTATACAAGAAGTCAGTCAGGTATGTGTAGTATGAATAGTAAGCCTATGAAGTATCAAAAAAAGGTACTTGAATTGAAGGAACCGTAATTGGGTTGGGGTAAATATGTGTACTGCAGATCTATCCCACTGGCAAACGGTGGAGGCGTTGATAAAGTGTGAGGTAGATTAGAGAGGTCAGGTTGAAGAAGACGAGGAGGGAGGTTAGTTTGCTCTACATAAGGCGGAGAGTGACCAGCTACCGGTGGCGAAAGGGCACGCTGATCCAGAACACTTGGCAAATGGGATGATCGACGAGTGTCGTGAATGTCGACGGCTATCTCGAGATTACTATAGTTTCGAGGATGGTAAGTGCCGTCAAGGGCCCTCCGGGACATGTCAAGCAGGATTTCGGCGCTCCAATTGAAGCGTTTAGCATTGCTGAAGATGCGATGCATCCCAGGGATGTCTTCCGTCCCGAGAAGGTGTAAAGTTGAGTCCCACGTTGTTTCGTGGTGTCGAAGCCGTTCTAGAGCCCTCGACGTATTAAGATGCTAGAAATTGTATCAGCCGAGAACGTGAATTAACAAGCATTATTTACGCACCTTGAGAGTCTCAGACTGGAGCTGATGTTCAACACCTTCAAGTTCTTCCGCAAGCTGCCTGAAGCTCAGCTGCATTCGGCCGAGATTTGCTGGTGGCCTTCGAGCACGATCCTCAACAGTCTCCACCAGCCTCACTGCCTTTTGACATGCATCGCACGCCATGGACCGATTTGATGTAGTTCCCATGCATCCGTTAGCGCGGATTTGAAGGACCGAGCTAGTACCTTCGAGAGAAAGAAGGTCATAACCAGGCGAAAAGCGCGAGTCGGCATCATGAAAGATGAATGGATACGTCGCGAACGGCGAGCCTAGCTGCCATGAAACATGCTGGCCTTGACATTTTGGACTCGTAAAAGTGGCAGTGGCAGTGGTAGAAGGACCTGATAGTCCTTGGGTTGACAACGAAAGAGTGAGTTCTATCAATGTACCTGTTAGCAGGCATTTCAAGGCAATGAGACTACACAACAACACACCTTGCTTTTGTTGACAATGCTTCCCATTCTGATGTTGATACAAAGGGTTTAAGCTTTGAGATTTACCCCGTAGCTTGACATATTCGAAGCATTTAAGACATTGGACATAAGTCCCGTTGGATTACATTGAAAAGAGGAGAGGAGTTTTCTTTATTTGAAACAGAAGAAGAGCCCGAAAAAGATACAGGTTGGGCAGAGGAATCCTTTGATACACTATATACAGGGTTAGGCTGCCATGATGTAGAGGATATGTTGTTAAGTACGCGTCTTGATCTGAGACGCGTCGGTGATGGGTGTGGTTGGAAAGTGAAGTCGAGTGGGAACAAATTGATAGCAGACTCATGCCGCGCTTGCCGCGTCTCTCCCTCGCCGTGTTTCCGTCCCCAAAATTAGACACACCCCCTACCTGTGTGTCGTGAGAACCACGTCCGAGATCGGGGGATCTGACGCCTCTTGCAGTTTACAGCTGTTTGCAAAACGATAGGCCATCAATTCAAAATTAAATGCTCGGGCGGACCTTGAATATGTGTATACTTCACTCCGCTAGGCTGGGAGCGATCAAATGGATCAACGGCCAGACAGCCGAAGATCGAGAACGGTTCAAGCCGCTGGTTACGGCAAGAAGTAGCTGTCAAAATTCAAAGTCCGCTTGTGCCCGTAATTTTAGATTTGTGGCCCATCGTTCTGCAAACAGCTGTAACGATTTCAAAGCGGCCTTACACACTTCGTCCCGACTACATCAAGGCCGCTTCTTTTTTGATAGTTCTGCTTTGACTTGATGTTTCAAGCTTTACGAGCTTATGCTCGTCCCAAAGCTTTTCCTGTCCTACCCTTGCGATCTGGAACTAGAAGTGCCCTACGGCTACCAAGGCATTTCTCGTCATCACAAAGACAGAATGCATACGTGCGCTTCGGGCAACAGAGTTCTCAGACGCCTCAAGGCTGGGTCAAGAAACCTGGTTCAAATCCACGCGTTCAACTAGCAGGAGTGGTGTTAGCAGGCGGCATCGTTTACTACGTGAGCCAGTAAGGTTTTTGTCCTAGATTACTGATATCTTCAGCTGACTAATTGCAGTTTAGAGCAAGTACCAGATACAGGTCGATGGAGATTTATGAATACTTCTACTAAAAGGGAGGCTCAGGTGCATAGTCTCCGGATATCTTGCTTTGATTGAGCTGACCTCGAGCCAGGTTGGTGAGCTTCTGCGCCAACAGACACGAGAAGAGCTGGGCGACTCTATTCTTCCTCCAAACCACCCGCTTACTCGACATGTTCATCGGGTTGTCTCTCGGATACTGCACTCTTCAAATCTCGGGACAATCCGCGGCGAGGCCAAACCCAATATTCTCTCTCGATTTGGACTTTCTATGGACTCACAAGGCGGTATGTGGAGTCAAGATGTAGACGCTGGCGCAGCAGAGACTCCTGGTGCTGCTTATGGTCCGCAAAAAGAGTGGGATGTAATTGTTGTGAATGACAAGAAGATGGTGAATGCCATGGCGAGTCCAGGCCTAGTGGTCGTGTTCACCGGAATCCTACCAGTCTGCCAAGACGAAGAAGGGTTGGCAGCTGTACTAGGTCACGGTACGTTTGTTCATGCGTTTTCCTCCATCAAGCTACTGATTTAGATTTTCAGAAATTGGTCATGTTGGTAT